TAGAGAAGAGGACCTTAGATCCAGGCAGGTGAGGGTGCAAGGGGAAAGTGTTTTTGTGGAGTCGATGTGGTGTAAAATTAAACTGATGGTAACAGACAGACTAGTTAATGGGTGTACAGCATATAATATACAGATCACCGAATTGTTGTTGGTCGCTGGAGTAAGGTGGCCACTAGAAATTGGTCTCCTCCGCACGAGAACGTCAGGACTATGGAGAGCTGTTGTGGATTCTTCCCAGCGTTCAGTGACAGTCAGTGATGATGAGTCTTGATGGGTGTCGACCAATAATAATGCAGGTATATGGTTTCAACCTTAGGCCGACGAGCTACCAAAACTATTGGATGGAAATTGTATACGTTAGAGATACTAGTGACCTTTGACCCTGAACGGTGACAGATGTTGACCTTTTCTTAAGTACAGTAACTACTTATGAACAGGACAGAATATCAGCTGTGAAAGTTACGTAAATATCGGGCGGACTGACTAACAAAGAAACAAACTCAACAAACGGAACCGTCCAGATCTTCTTCGCTAAAGATTGAACCAACAATTCACAGACGTTTTGGGGGGATTCTCGGTGGCGGCTAAAATAATGTGGGTGGTGACCTACGGTGATCACTGGGAGCAGATGGTCGCTAGGTAAAGTATTCATTACAATTAACTGTCGCTATGGTAAAATGGTCGATATAGGATTTCGCCAGTAATAAAACTGGCCGGCCAGCCGTGAAATTCCCCAAAAAAACGCTGAAAACTGTGGAGCTGTGGATTGTGAAGCACGAGCGTCCACCATGTGATGAGGAGGGGAGCAGACTATCTTTTATCTTCACCCCCTCCCCGCCTACCCCCACCCCCTCCCCTCACACTTTTTTCTTGTTTCCTGTGAAAAAAAACTCGTGTTTTCTTCATAAAGGCTTATGCAGAAAATTTGTTATTATAAAATAAACAACATTTAACATATATTTTCGTAATTATCATCATCATCATTACCATCATTACAATAATATGACAAGGAAGCAGTTGGTATTGTTTAAGGCTTTAAGGTGTACAGCGGGCGACTGTAAAAATATACTGTACTGCATATATTCCTGATATACGCCGGTGATTCTGGCCATGTTTAAGCTATGTTCTTTGTGTAGAAGCTGTCTGCACTTTGATCACAGCCTTTGTGGTTGTTATGCATCCAAAAATAAAACTTAAATACGAGACATAAAAGTGGAGGAACATCAAGAATGTGTCAGCGTGAACCAGTGACGATCGCTTGTTTGTGTGTGTGTGAACTGGGAGGAGAGTTTTTTTTTACTTTGAAATATTAATACCAGTCAACATTTCACACGCAGATAATATTTATTTTTTATTTAAAATTACTTCAAATTATCAGTAAATTAGAACACTACGGGAAGTAATTATAATGTTGAACAGACGCATCACAGCCGGCCTAGTTAGATCAGGTGCTGTCTCCTTCACTCATGTCAGCGGCAGCGTGTGTGAAATTACCACTGTTGTTTATTTTTATTTTAGTGGCTAATATAGAAAATTACTATTATATATTTATCTTCACGGCCATCAGTATCTTCACGGCAGGATCTCGAGCGTTTATCTTTGCATAAATAATGTTATCCCCCGCCGCCTGCCGCTGTTATAATCTCAGTCAGATGGCAGCTGGTAAGAGGAACGGCAAACTCGTCCAGCCAGTCACAATCATACACATCTTCCATTTAAATTTGAACGACTCGAATTATGTGGTTATGTTAAATTTTTGCCTCGGATTAGCAGCTGTATTCGAATCAGTGAAGGTGAAATATGCAAAATATGTGTAAATTGTGGAAGATACTAAATATCGCCCCATTGCCCTCACTTCATCCCTCTCTAAGATTTTAGAAACTATCTTAAACTTTCATTTTCTCCGTCACCTTCAACGCCTTTCTCTTTTGTCGGATCACCAGTAAGGCTTTCGCCAGGCGAGATCTACTGGTGATCTGCTCTCCTACTGCATCCATCTTTGGTCATCCTCTCTTAAGGATTATGGGGAAACTTTCATCGTGGCCCTCGACATCTCCAAAGCATTTGACAGGGTATGACACAAGTCTTTGCTTTCTGAACTTCCCTCTTATGGTTTCTCTCCCCGACTTTGTTCTCTAATTTCTAGCTTTCTTAAGAACCGATCCATGGCAGTTGTTGTCGAGGGATCTATCTCTCGCTCTTTCTCTACCAATAGTGGTGTCCCACAGGGATCTTTTCTTTCTTCTACTCTCTTTATCAATGATTAACTTCACACTACGACTAATTCTACCAATTCTTACGCTAATGATTCTACTCTTCACTCTTCACTCTTCACATCACACCCCTCCCCTAATTCTCAAACTAGATCTGTTTCTAGAGCTGATATCATTTCATCTATCAATGCGGATTCAGTGCCGGATTTAGACCTGTGGAGGCCCATGGGCAGCCTCTTTGTGGAGGCCCCCCCCATTATAACTACTCAAGAGGGTGGGGTGGCGAGTGAAGCGAGCCTAAACATCTGGGAGTTCCGGGGGTGCTGTAAGCCCCCCGGGAAAATTTTGAAATTTGAACACTTCTTTGGAGAATTTTGAAGCCATAAGCAGTTATATTGAGGAAATTAGAACATTGAGAATTTTTTAATTAGCTGTACATTTATTGATAGTGTACAAATTCCCAACACACACACACACACACACACACAAAAGTGAGACATGACTGGAGTCATTCATGTGGTTTCAAGTCGACCAGCCCTGATATAGCTACTACCGCACAGGTCAAAAATTTTCAAGAGACTTCACAGAAAAAAATATATTATTAGTTATTACAGAGAGATGATTCTTTGCATTATTAATCAGATAAACTTCTACTCAAATAAAGGTTCTGTCCAAGAATGCATGTATAGGCTTCTTTAAGTCCAAGGTCAGATAGATTCAGAATAAGTATTAACTCAACTATAAAAAAAATTGAAGTTTTGCATCCAATAGTAAAACATTTGCAAGACATGTTATAGGAAATGACAACTGACAAGATCATTCATCACTAGCAGCGACGACTTCACTCAACAAGCACACATGACAATTCTCTCTCATTTTACATCTGCAAGACATGTTTATGACTACTCGTGGGAAGTTCACAAATCATGGGCGACGCAAGTCTCCTCTTTAATCGACAGACACATGACAACCGATGTGCAGATGCTACACGACCCAACCCCTCTGACCGACTGTCAACAAACACAGCGCCCTGATGGCATTCGTAATGAAAGTGATAATGAAAAACATATATATATTTTTTTTTTAATCTCAATTTCGTTATTCCATGTAGTTCATGTTTGTGGAATTCTAAATATATTATTAGCAACACAAACAATAGCATTCATTAAAAATATACTGTTCATAGGAAAACCAGGTATTCATGAATTTCAAGGAGTAGCTAGCCTAATTTCTATCACGCTTCTTGCTGAACATAGTTTTACGTGATGGAATAGATAAACATGAATTTTAAAGAATGAAAATAAAAATAATCCAAATGAATAAACAAATAAATAGAATATTGTAATATGTGGTGGCCCCAGATTGTGGAGGCCCCTGGGCAGCTACCCACTTTGCCCACTCCTGAATCCGGCCCTGATCATACAGTATATCTTTATATGTAGAGTACATAGTGTTAAGTAAAAGTAAAAGTAAGACGATGTGTTTTGAGTACCCAACCGCCACCTGCAATCAGTACAGTATGTTTCTTGTGAACTTACGGGATAGTAATTCATAACTTAAGTCATATCTTTTTGATCTGTGAACATCAGAGAATCTGATGAGAGTATTGAAATTGCTGTAAGTTTTGTATTGTAGAAAGTAATTAGTCTTCTGAAATGTAAACTGTTTACTTCTTAAAGCTGGGATGTAACAGAAAAATCTCAGTATCTCCTTGAGAAGCTCCGCCCACAATGCACTGCCATTCTGAGTACTTGACATCAGTTTAATTCTTGCCTTTGAAAGCTCAGACACTGATTAGTTTAAAAGGTTAATCTTAGAAAATTAATATAGGCTCATAGCCTGGTTTTCATAAGCCAATGTGTACAGTAAAGGAGTCTGATGAATATATCTGTGAAAGTTTTGACACAGGAGTTGGGAGAGGCAGTGTGAACTCACTCTGTCCTGATTCTCAAGCCCCGACTCCTCTGTGTGACATTCCACAAACATATATTGATTAAAAATGAACTACATGGAATAACGAAATTGAGATATAAAAAAACCAAATAAACTATTTTTTTCATTATCACTTCCATTACGAATGCCATCAGGGCGCTGTGTTTGTTGACAGTCGGTCGGAGGAGGTTGGGTCGTGTAGTATCTGCACATCTGTTGTCATGTGTCTGTTGATTAAAGAGGAGACTTGCGTCGCCCATGATTCGTGAACTTCCCACAAGTAGACATAAACATGTCTTGCAGATGTACAATGAGAGAGAGAGAATTGTCATGTGTGCTTGTTGAGTGAAGTCGTCGCCACTCAGTGATGAATGATTTAGGCAGTTGTCATTTCCTAGAACATGTCTTGCAAATGTACAGTGAGAGTGCGAGTGAGAGAGAGTCGATTGATGCTTGTGCTTGAGTGTGGGTGGGTGTGCTCTTAGAATATACGTTCACATATATAATTGTACTTTAAGATACTACAGTTCGATTGGCTGCAAGTAAGTTGAGCTATTTTTATGTATTTTGAGTACATTAACTGTGTCAATGACGGTTTCTGTTAGTTCCACGATCAGTATATACAGTATAACACAGCTTTTGGGGTGGGACTGGGGGAAGTCAGAGGGAGAGGTCATAATCTTACCCCAAATTCCAAATTTTAAAAACATGCTGGCGTCCAAATGTTCAGGGAGTTAAGTAATCAATTAATCTCTCCATAAAGTAGCAAAAAGCAAGCGGCCAATTTGTGTTACGTTTTTAATTATAACGAAAAATTAGGTGTCCGTCTTTGTTGACAGAAAATTATTGTTGCAGAAATGAGTGGAATGGACAGACACAAAGGTGTACGACACTTCGAAAGTGGTGCTGCATAGAGAAAGACATCTAAAGTACGTGCTGAGAGAGAAGCTAAAGAATTTACAAAAACACTTCGACTGACTGAATTCTTCACTCGTCCATCAGCTTCAGAACATCTGGTCAGTGCTTCTGCAAGCTCATCTTCAAGGCAGCCAGAAGAAGTACCTGCATGTGATGCATCAGCTTCCTCTTTATATGGCAGCTCTAGCCTATCTACAGGGGGAAATGACCAGACTGCCGAGGAGATTGAAATTGAATCAAAGCATGTGCCTCCTGAAGTGCAAATGGCAACTACACAAAATTATGACATTGTTATTTGACAAAACAATTTATTGATTATTGGGCTGCGAACGGTTCTGAGAGTCTCCACCACAGTGATGCGAAATTTTTGGATGCAAAATCAGCAGTACAAAAAGATGCAAACAATGTCAGTCGCAAATGCACACCAGCCATGTTTGAGCGAAGGAATCGAAATAGGGAAGTTGTAAAGCGTTCTTGGCTTTGTTTCTCCCCCGCAAATGGGCGGGTCTACTGCTTCTTTTGCAAGCTAATGGGTGTTTCAAGATCTCAATTCACATCTGATGGGTTCTGCGACTGGAAGCATGCTAATAGGCTTGTTGTCCATGAGCAATCAAAGGACCACATTCAAGCAGTTTTGTCAGCAGCAAGTCGTGCAAAGGGAGCTGGAGGTATAGATTCTAAACTAACTACGCGTGTGGGTCAAATTGAGCAGTATTGGTGGAGTCTTGTAAAGCGATTGATCAGCGTGCTTAAATTTATATGTGAAAGAGGGCTAGCTCTTCGTGGAGATGATGAAATAATTGGATCTCCTCATACTGGAAATTACTTGGGATTACAAGAGCTTTTGGCCGAGTATGATGATTTCCTCAGGCAACACATCCAGAATCATGCTAATCGTGGCACTGGTCATACAAACTATTTGTCTTCAACCATCTGTGAAGAAATTGTCAGACTAATGGGCAATGAAGTACTGAACGAAATTATCTCACGTATAAAGCTCTCAAAATATTACTCAATTTCTGTAGATTCCACCCCTGATGAAGGCCATATTGATGAACTAACTCTGATAATCAGATACATGGAGCATGACACACCTGTTGAGAGATTTGTAAAATTCTTGCCAAATCAAGGACACAAGGCTCATGAACTGTTTGAAGGTTTGATGAAGTTTCTTGCAGACAATGACATTGGCATTCAAAATTGTCGTGGGCAATCTTATGATAATGCAACATCTATGAGTGGGAGGTACAATGGTATGCAAGCCAAAGTTGTAGCTGAAAATCATCATGCAATTTGGATACCCTGTGCTGGTCATTCATTAAACTTGGTTGGAAAAGCTGCAGCTGAATGTTGTGAAGAAGCTATCTTATTTTTTTTCTTGAGGCAATTTATGTGTTCTTCACAGCTCCTACACATCGTTATGCAATTCTTAGTGATTTATTGAAAACTGTAGCGTCTGGCCCGGTATCTGTGCCAAAGAGGATTTCCACAACATGATGGTCCTGTCGAGCAGTTGCAGTTAAAGCAGTTGTCCAAGGTTATCTCCCAAACCGTGAAGCACTTGCTAAAATAGCTAGAGATGAAAATGAGACGAGCAAAACATGTTATGAAGCCAATGGTCTCCATGATAAGATGTGCAAGTTAGAGACTGCTATTTATGCTGTGTTTTGGCATGACATTCTTGGCAGAGTTGATGCAGCAAGCCATGCATTGCAAGATCCTAAACTCGATTTGAACACAGCAGTAGCAATGCTGAAGTCCTTGGAATGTTTTGTACGAGAAAAAAGAGATTGCTTCCATGTTTATGAGAAGAAGGGAAGGGAAATGTCAGAAACTGGGGATTATTCACAGACACGCAAGCGTCAACGTAATGTACGACTCAATCCATTGGATTATGGGCGATCAGAAGAAGCAGCCCTCTCACAGTCAGAAAAATTTCGGGTTCAGAATTTCCTTCCAGCAATTGATCAGTTCCTGAGTTCACTGAATCAACGGTTAAAGGCCTATGAGGAAACCTGTTTACTTTTCGGGTTCTTGTTAAAACTGGAGTCAATGAATTGTAACGAAATTGAAGCAGCTGCAGCAAAATTGGTTGCTGAGTACAAAAATGATTTAGATCAAACACTTGGAGTTGAACTTGTGCAGTTTACAGCATTCTTCACTCAATTTCTTGAAGACGAAGATGATGAGAAAGGGAGGGCACATTACCTTTTCAAGCTGTTGATAGACAAGAAAGTTGTAGATACATTTCCAAATGTTGAAATAATGCTACGGATGTACTTGCTGCTCTTGGTCACAAATTGTTCTGGTGAACGTTCTTTCAGTAAAATGAAGTTTATTAAAAACAGACTTCGTACTACAATGTGTCATGATAGGCTCAGCCACCTGGCTTTGATGAGTATCGAATATGACATCCTCAGAGAGATTGACTTCGAAAAGTTGATCAAAAACTTTGCAGCGGCCTGGTCACGTAAGGTGCCTGGTCTGTAAATAAAGGTAATGTTTATTTTCTATTTTGCAATTGATCAATGTTTGTGTTCAATATATCCATTATCCATGGTCGATGGCAGTTATTTTTATTAAAATTCTTGTTTTTTCCAACATGTTCATACTTTTGTTATAATTTTATCAAATTCATTAAATTGTTTATTTGTTTTACTATTGGATGCAAAACTTCAATTTTATTTATAGTTGAGTTAATACTTATTCTGAATCTATCTGACCTTGGACTTAAAGAAGCCTATACATGCATTCTTGGACAGAACCATTATTTGAGTAGAAGTTTATCTGATTAATAATGCAAAGAATCATCTCTCTGTAATAACTAATAATATATTCTTTTCTGTGAAGTCTCTTGAAAATTTTTGACGTGTGGTAGTAGCTATATCATGGCTGGTCGACTTGAAACCACATGAATGACTCCTGTCATGTCTCACTTTTGTGTGTGTGTGTGTGTGTTGGGAATTTATACACTATCAATAAAATTACAGTTAATTAAAAAATTCTCAATGTTCTAATTTCCTCAATATAACTGCATATGGCTTCAAAATTCTCCAAAGAAGTGTTCAAATTTCAAAATTTTCTCGGGGGGCTTACAGCGCCCCCCGGAACTCCCAGATATTTAGGCTCGCTTCACTCGCCACCCCACCCTCTTGAGTAGTTATAATGAGGGGGGGCCTCCACAAAGAGGCTGCCCATGGGCCTCCACAGGTCTAAATCCCGCACTGTATATGATGCTTTCGACATATACTCAATACATCTTGAATGCTCTATCTCACTGTAGGTATATGTAAGGGCTGTAACGAGCTGCCCTGGACCTTCCCCCTGAGAGCTGACGCCTGAGAGTTTTGGAGGCGAGCTAGACTGCTTCACTCGGGCCTCGCACTGGTGAGGGGCGGATCACTGCGTTCCCAGAACACTCTACAGTGCTGGTTAGAAGGAAGATTCATCTACGGCCGTAGGAAATAACTGTACTTTGTTTTATTGATTATGCTTTGTTTTAGTAATTGTGTTTGACTCCAGTGCTGTTTATTTAATGTTGGTGAGATTGGTGACAGAGTTAAAATTTTTGTGAATATTTCTTAGTAAAGAGATATCCTCTCTTCCGGTTGTTTATTACCCCTTGGAAAACCATTGTGCTTGACTTTCCTTTGATAAGATCCTGATTAGGTTGGCAAGGGATTTATATCCTACAGGTCAGGCTACTCATACACGTTATCTCTTAAATTTAAATTCACTTTGTAAGAGAGATTTCAGGATGTTTAAGAGAAATTAGATGACACCTATCGCTAGAGAAAACACGTCTCTCTCTAGGGGTAACTCATCAGCTTCACACATGATTTGTGAACGGTGGAGCATAATATGAATAATTAAGTGTTGAACATACTAGCTGTGCTCTTGTGACCATGACTCACCGACTGCTGTGCGTCGGAGCTGCTTCCCCAATTCTCTTGGTGTTGTCTGGTATTTATTTGCATTACTTATGTGGCTGACCTGTATTCGACTCCACAGACAAGTTATTCTTGTTATGATTGTTAGGTATAATGTTTAGGATGTCTAATAGGAATTTAAGTTACTAATCAGTTTTGCCTTGTAATGTTCGTGTGAGAGTTTTCCTTGTAAATATATTGGTTTGTTGTAAGTGTATTTTTCAATCTGGGTTTTCTCCTTCAAAATTAAACAACAATTGACCTATTGAAGCCTGTCGAGAGCACTTTTAATAATAAGAGCATTAACGTGATTTATTTATACGGATCAGTATTCTCTCAACCTGACTTAGATCGCCAATTAGTGGGGGCCTGACCTTGGAGGTATCATGTAAACATTTAATTACATTTAAGCATTTAATTTACAGCCATGGGAGATTTTGTTCTTAGTGAATTTGTGGAGGATCCTTCAGGAGAACGATTAAAAAACAGTTTAATTAAGAAAGATGACTGGATTACATTGGCAAAGACATATAAAATAGAATTCAAAGCTTCAGTGACTAAGAGTGTGATTAAGAAGTCGGTCAATTGTTGATTAACTGAGAATTATATTTTACCTGATTGTGCTTTGGAATTATGTGTTGAGAATACCTCTGAGTTGATAACATTAAATAAATTAGAAATGGAAAATGCAAAAAAAAAACCACAAAGACAACATAAATATCAAATGTTACATAAGGTTGTCTAGTCCTACTGCGCAGGTGAGTACTCCCCAGCCAGAGGTCTCTGATTTAACTAAATATACAAAAATGGTGTCATTTGATGAACTCGATCCAGAATTATTTTCTTGCAGTTTGAGAAGGTAGCACAATCACTTAGTTTTCCTCAGACTCATTGGACAATTTTAGCTCAAACATCTTATGTACAGTAGGTAAAGCCCGCACTACTATGTGTCACTTACTGAAGATCAAGTTAAAGATTATAATGGCACCACGAAGAAGGCAATATTACAGAACTATGATCTTGTACCAGAAATGTGTTGGCAAAAGTTTAGGAACCTTAGAAAAAATTATTTTCAGTCTTATTCTGAATTTGCAAGTAAGAAGGAAAAATTGTTTAATCGTTGGTTGACAGCTGCTGATGTCCAGGATTTTGATAAATTGTAGGAGTTGATGTTGATTGAAGAATTTAAACGACAAATTCCTAATCCTGTTGGATTGTATTTAGATGAAAAAGATATATCTGCATTGTCAAAGTCAGCCACATTAGCAGAGAATTTTGCTCTTACTCATGAAACCTATGATTTCAGATTTGCAAACAAACCAGACACCACCAATAGGAAGTGTGCACGACCACAGGATTCCTGAGTCGGGGTTGGTAAGTCGTCTCGGTCTGACGACTCCCTGAAGTCCTATTCTACATCTGGAAATCCTGAGTTTCAGGTCTACTTTGCTGTCACTCGGAATCGAGTATGATGATCATCCAGCTATGACTAAAGAGGCCGATATTGGACCGGCAAAGTCGTTCACAGATGTTGCACATGGCTCCAACCAGTGCTGGGGGGGGCGGCGGTAGCGTCTTTCCGGCGCTGGCGCTTGTCTGCCTCGGTTTGCAGTTGGGCTAATTCGAAAGTATTGACACCTTCTCGTGCGGTGTTCCTCCAAGCGTTACGGTGTGGAGTGATCGTCTTCCAGGTGAGGGGGTCGATTTGGCACTTTTTCAGGTTTGTCTTACGATTATCCTTATACTTTTTCAGTTGCCGGCCAGTGTTATGTTTACTATTTGTTAAATGACGGTGCTCCTACAGTTGGTGTCAGCGAGAATACCGGCATTTGTTCTCTTGTCTTCCCAGTGAACTCGGAGGATAGAACATAGACTACGTTGGTGAAAGCTTTCAAGTGCATTGAGGTGCATCCAGTATGTAACCCATGTCTCACTGCCATATAGCATGGTGGGGAGAACCACTGCTCGATATGAGTGCAACTTTGTAGATAATTTCAGCTCCCTACAGCTGAAGACACAGGTACGGAGTCTGCCAATGGCTTGAGATGCGCATCTGATCCGATGTTGAATCTCTTCATCGATGTCCGCGGTGGTGGACAGTTGGGAGCCGAGATACTGAAAGTGGATAACATTAGAGAGGGTAGTACCATTAAGCTGGATGGATGGTGGAGGTGTGGCTGAACCAGGGGAAAGCTGAAAGAGAATCTGAGTCTAACACACATTTACCTCAAGACCGAAGTGTGAATACGCAACTACATAGGTGTTCAGGATCTCCTGTAGGTCGCGTTCAGTGTGAGCGACAAGGGTGAAGTCGTCTGCATACTGAAGTCTGCATACTGACCACGTGAGGTCCTTCATATCAACACTCGAGGACGAGTTACGACACCACGTGAACACCACACCACCCGATATCTCCATGACCAGGCCATGCCCGGGCCATCAACTGTAAACTATAATAATTTGTATGTTCAATTCATGTTCCTTCTCCTTTCAGTAAAGAAAGCTTTTGTTAAACGGCACACCCACCCCATGTCTTTGTATGTAATAAGTCATTTTTGTCCAATGTATATATTTTCAGCCTTTGGGCTGCAGAACTTTTTCAATAAACCGTTAATTATTATTATTATCAGTAGTAGTAGTAATGGAAGCTGCCAACACCTGCCTGGAGTCATCTTATTTTTAAAAGATCCTTCATCAGGTACTCTATGTCCACCCCGACGGCTAAATTGGCACTAGCATAACTGAGGAAGGCAGCCAAAAAAATGGAAAAGAGAGTTGGCGCGAGTGCACATCCTTGTTTTACCCCTGTTTGGATGAGGAAGAACTCAGACTGGGTGCCATTGTGCAGGACACTGCCGTTCATGCTGGAGTTGCCTCACAATGGTGTAATGGCCCCTGTCTCATCAACAGAAAGATTATATAAATGGGTTAATTACATTTGATTTATATACTGATTCATCCCCTGTAACTTTCCACTGGCTATGAGGTGACATGTTCAGAGCACGTGATAAGGAGTGCCCATGGGAAACCGCGTCATATTATGCTGAGCTAAAGCATTACTTGCCGGCCTTTCTGGCCACCTAAAGCAGGTATTACTACTCAATCCCTCACACAAGAAGGACGTGATTAAACGGTCTATTTACATAGCCCCCATCCTTCTCTTAACACCCATAGCTACAGTGATTAAGTTACGGTTGATTTACACTCTGGAATTGTATCAACAGCAGTTCCTCAATAAAAGGAGAAACAGACAATTGGGTTTCGCTACTGTAACCCAATATAATATAAATGTACCAGCTTAGTTAACTTCGACAGAACCTACAGTTAACCAGCTATAACAATGGCGATGAATTTTGATGGGCATCCAAACCGGCTGAGGGTCCGCCAGAGGGCTTCCCCGTAGACCGAGTCGAAGTTGGATATTTATTCTCCTTTTCATTGTTCAGGATGCGATGATACTGGAAATGCGATGGGCGGTGTATTTATTTAACGTCATATCCCCAAGAGTTCTAAAAAGTGCCAAAAAATGCTCCCAGTGAACCTTCCAGGGGCCCTCCTTAGGGACAGCGTATCCCCCAGGGGCCCTCTCAGGGGCTGTGACACCCCTAAGGGAACTCAGTGGCCGCGGCGCTCTAGGGGTTTTCCCAGGGGCGGCGACGCCGCCAGAGGTTGTCCAGGGGTCCTACCAGGGGTGGAGGCTCCTCCAGGTGCCCTCCCAAGAGCGGCGGCGCCCCCAGGGATCATCTCAGAGGCGGCGGAGCCCCCTGGGGCCCTGCCATGTGCTGTGGCACGCACAGGAGACCTTCCATAAGCGATGGCGCCTCCAGGGGCCCTCCCAAGACCCGCAGCGCCGCTAGTGGTTCTCCCAGGGGCAACGGCGCTCCAAGGGAACCTCCCAAGCGCGGCGGTGCTCCAAGGGGCCCTCCCAAGATCGGAGGCTCCCGTATGGGCCCTCCCAAGAGCGGCGGCACCCCCAGGGGCCCTGCTTAGGAGTGGCGACAACCCCAGGGGCCTTGCCAGAGGCGATGGCGCCTCCAGAGGCTCCCGGAGGTGGCGGGGCCCCCAAGGGCCTTCCCAGGGGCGGCAGGGGCCTTTCAAGAGGCGATGGTAACCCCAGGGGCCCTCCAGGGGCGGCGGCGCCCTTAAAGGCCCTTTCAGGAGCACTGGCGCTCATAGGGCCTTGCCAGGGGCTGTGGCGCGCATAGGGGCTTTGCCAGGGGCTGTGGCGCCCTCACAGCCTCTTCCAGGGGACGTTGAGCACCCACGGACTCTCCCAGGAGCCCTCCCAGGAGCGGTGGCTTTCCCATTGGCCCTCCCAAGGACGGTGGTGACTCCAGGGGCCCTCCCAAGTGCTGCGGCTCCCCTATAGGCCCTCATAAGGACGGCGGCAGCGCTCCCAGGGGCCCTCCCAGGAGCGGCAGCGCTCCCAGGGGTTCTCCGTGGGACAGCGGCGCTTCCTGGGACGGCAGCACCCCCAGGGGCCCTCCTAGGGATGGCGGCGTCCCAAGGGCCTCTGCCAGGGGCGCTGGGGCACACAGGGGCTCTTCCAGGGGCCCTCCCAGAAACGGCGGCGCCCCCAGTGGCGCTGGTGCCTCCACGGGCTCTCTCATTGACAGCAGTCCCTTACTTAACTATGATTGATGGACTGTTCTTTAACCCACCAACTTACAGCCAATAAGAGAAGAGAGCACCCAGTCAACACACCACCACAACTTATGTTTTCCTGTTGATATTATTCTCCACCACCTTCTTCAGAATGCTATGATACCGGAAATGTGATGGGCGGTGTTTTTATTTAATGTTGCATGTCCCATTGTCCCAGAGTTCTAAATAGTGCAAAACTACTGCATCCAGGGACCCTACAGGTCTGGCTCTTCCAGGGGCCCTCCTACGGTCGGCGGCGCCCCCAGGTGCCCTTCCACGGGCGTCAGCGCTTACCAGGAGCGCTGGAGTCCCCACAGGCTCTCCCAGTGACAGCCGCCGTTCCAGGGGCCATCCTAGGGATGCCGGCCCTCCCATGGGCGCTCCCTGGGGACGGTGTTGCTTTCAGGGGCCCTTCCAGGGATTTCGGCTCTTTCAGGAACCCCCCCAGTGGCTCTCCTAGAGATAGCGGCGCTCCCAGGGCACCTCAGAGGAACGGCGGCGTCCCCATGGGCCCTGTTAGGGGCGCTGGCGACCCTAGGGGCCCTCACAGCGACAGTCATGATCCCTGGGGCCTTTCCAGGGACGGGGGCGCCTCGAAGTACGTTCCTAGCTGCCGCGGTGCTCCCAGAGGCCCTGCCAGCGGCTGTGGCGCCTTCAAGGGCCCTTCCAGAGGCAGTGGCTCCCTTCAGGCCTCTTTATGGGGCGCCACTGCTCCCAGGGACCCTGCAAAGACCTGTGGCTCACAATAGGTCCTCCTAGGGGAGTCAGCGCACCAAAACAATGGATAGTGGTGTCGTACATATTGCATTCTTCCAGTAATCTCTTACTTAACTGTGATTGGTGGAATAAGAGGTAACATCATCAAATTTCAGCCAATAGGAAAACAGAGCAATCAGTCAGCACAACACCCCAACTTATGTTTTGCTGTTGGATATTTATTCTCCTTTTCATTGTTCAGGTTGTGATAATACTGAAAATGCTATGGGCAGTGTGTATTTATTTAATGTCATATCTCCCAGACTTCAAATAGTAAAACGAGAATAAATATCCAACAGCAAAGCATAAGTTGGGGTGTTGTGCTGACTGATTGCTCTGTTCTCCATTGGCTGTAATTTGATGACGTTACATCTTACTCCATCAATCACGTTTAAGTAAGGGATTACTGGACGAATGCAAAATGTACAACAAAACTATGAAGTTCTTGGGACGATGCTGCATGTGGAAGGGGTTTTGGGGAGCCATCGCCCCTGGCAGAGACCCTGCCGTCCCTGGAAAGGCACCCACTATGACTAGGAGGGCCCATACCAGCGCCACCGGCCCTAGGAGGGCCCATTAGGGCGCTGCAGCCCCTGGCAGGTTCATTTTGGGCAGAAGTGCCCCATAGAGGGACCCTTGGGGAGACACCGCCTCTAGAAGGGCCTCGAAAATGCGCCACTGCCGTGGTATGGCCCCTGGTGGTGCCGCCGTCCCTGAGAACACCCCTGAAGGTGCCCCCGTCCCTGTAAGGGACCCTGGGATCGTTGCTATCCCTGTGGTGGGTCACTTGGCCATGCAAGGCACGGAGGCACCCCCAGGGCCCTCTCAGGTTCGGTGGTGCCCCCAGGGGACCTGTCAGAGGCGCTGGAGCCACCAGGGGCGGTCTTAGGAATAACTGTAATCCTAGGGGCCTTCTCAGGGAAGACAGCATCGACAGGGACTCCTCCAGGAACAGCCGAGCTTCCATGGGCCTCTCAGGGAGGCAACGCTCCATGGGAACTTCGCAGGGACGGCAACACGCCTAAGGACCCTCACACGGACGGCAGCGTCCCCATGGGCCCTGTTAGGGGCGCTGGCGACCCTAGGGGCCCTCACAGCGACAGTCATGATCCCTGGGGCCTTTCCAGGGACGGGGGCGCCTCCAGGTACGTTCCTAGCTGCCGCGGTGCTCCCAGAGGCCCTGCCAGCGGCTGTGGCGCCTCCAAGGGCCCTTCCAGAGGCAGTGGCTCCCTCCAGGCCTCTTTATGGGTCGCCACTGCTCCCAGGGACCCTGCAAAGACCTGTGGCTCACAATAGGTCCTCCTAGGGGAGTCAGCGCACCAAAACAATGGCTAGTGGTGTCGTACATATTGCATTCTTCCAGTAATCTCTTACTTAACTGTGATTGGTGGAATAAGAGGTAACGTCATCAAATTTCAGCCAATAGGAAAACAGAGCAATCAATCAGCACAACACCCCAACTTATGTTTTGCTGTTGGATATTTATTCTCCTTTTCATTGTTCAGGTTGTGATAATACTGAAAATGCTATGGGCAGTGTGTATTTATTTAACGTCATATCTCCCAGACTTCAAATAGTGAAACGAGAATAAATATCCAACAGCAAAGCATAAGGTGGGGTGTTGTGCTGACTGCTTGCTCTGTTCTCCTATTGGCTGTAATTTGATGACGTTACATCTTACTCCACCAATTACGTTTAAGTAGGGGATTACTGGACGAATGCAAAATGTATGACAAAACTATGAAGTTCTTGGGACGATGCTGCATGTGGATGGGTTTCTAGGGGCGCCATCGCCCCTGGCAGAGACCCTGCCGTCCCTGGAAAGGCACCCACTACGACTAGGAGGGCCCATACCAGCGCCGCTGGCCCTAGTTGGGCCCATTGGGATGCTGCAGCCCCTGGCAGGGTCATTTTGGGCAGAAGTGCCACATAGAGGGACCCTTGGGGAGACACCGCCCTTAGAAGGGCCTCGAAAATGCGCCACTGCGGTGGTATGGCCCCTGGTGGTGCCGCCGTCCCTGAGAACATTCCTGAAGGTGCCCCCGTCACTGTAAGGGACCCTGGGATCGTTGCTATCCCTGTGGTGGGTCACTTGGCCATGCAAGGCACGGAGGCACCCCCAGGGCCCTCTCAGGTTTGGTGGTGACCCCAGGGGACCTGTCAGAGGCGCTGGAGCCACCAGGGGCGGTCTTAGGAATAACTGTAATCCTAGGGGCCTTCTCAGGGAAGGCAGCGTCGACAGGGGCTCCTCCAGGAACAGCCGAACTTTCATGGGCCTCTCAGGGAGGCAACGCTCCATGGGAACTTCGCAGGGACGGCAACACGCCTAAGGACCCTCACAGGGACGGCGGCGTCCCAATGGGCCCTGTTAGGGGCGCTGGCGACCCTAAAGGCCCTTACAGCTACAGTCATGATGTCTGGGGCCTTTCCAGGGACGGGGGCGCCTCCAGGTACGTTCCTAGCTGCCACGGTGCTCCCAGAGGCCCTGCCAGTGACTGTGGCGCCTTCGGTTGCCCTTCCAGAGGCGGTGGCTCCCTCCAGGCCTCTTTATTTGGCGCCACTGCTCCCAGGGACCCTGTAAAGACTTGTGGTTCACAATAGATCCTCCTAGGGGAGTCAGCGCACCAAAACAATGGATAGTGGTGTCGTACATATTGCATTCTTCCAGTAATCTCTTACTTAACTGTGATTGGTGGAATAAGAGGTAACTTAAGCAAATTTCAGCCAATAGGAAAACAGAGCAATCAGTCAGCACAACACCCCAACTTATGTTTTGCTGTTGGATATTTATTCTCCTTTTCATTGTTCAGGTTGTGATAATACTGAAAATGCTATGGGCAGTGTGTATTTATTTAACGTCATATTTCCCAGACTTCAAATAGTGAAACGAGAATATATATCCAACAGCAAAGCATAAGTTTGGGTGTTGTGCTGACTGATTGCTCTGTTCTCCAATTGGCTGTAATTTGATGACGTTACATCTTACTCCACCAATCACGTTTAAGTAAGGGATTACTGGACGAATGCAAAATGCACAACAAAACTATGAAGTTCTTGGGACAATGCTGCATGTGGAAGGGGTTTTGGGGCGCCATCGCCCCTGGCAGAGACCCTGCCGTTCCTGGAAAGGCACCCACTATGACTAGGAGGGCCCATACCAGCGCCACCGGCCCTAGGAGGGCCCATTGGGGCGCTGCAGCCCCTGGCAGGGTCATTTTGGGCAGAAGTACCCCATAGAGGGACCCTTGGGGAGACACCGCCTTTAGAAGGGCCTCGAAAATGCGCCACTGCCTTGGTATGGCCCCTGGTGGTGCCGCCGTCCCTGAGAACACCCCTGAAGGTGCCCCCGTCCCTGTAAGGGACCCTGGGATCGTTCCTATCCCTGTGGTGGGTCACTTGGCCATGCAAGGCACGGAGGCGCCCCCAGGGCCCTCTCAGGTTCGGTGGTGCCTCCAGGGGACCTGTCAGAGGCGCTGGAGCCACCAGAGCCGGTCTTAGGACTAACTGTAATCCTAGGGGCCTTCTCAGGGAAGGCAGCGTCGACAGGGGCTCCTCCAGGAACAGCCGAGCTTCCATGGGCCTCTCAGGGAGGCAACGCTCCATGGGAACTTCGCAGGGACGGCAACACGCCTAAGGACCCTCACAGGGACTGCGGCGCCCCCATGGGCCCTGTTAGGGGCGCTGGCGACCCTAAGGGCCCTTACAGCGACAGTCATGATCCCTGGGGCCTTTCCAGGGAAGGGGGCGCCTCCATGTACGTTCCTAGCTGCCGAGGTGCTCTTAGAGGCCCTGCCAGCGGCTGTGGTGCCTTCGGTTGCCCTTCCAGAGGCGGTGGCTCCCTCCAGGCGTCTTTATGGGGCGCCACTGCTCCCAGGGACCCTGCAAAGACTTGTGGTTCACAATAGATCCTCCTAGGGGAGTCAGCGCACCAAAACAATGGATAGTGGTGTCGTACATATTACATTCTTCCAGTAATCTCTTACTTAACTGTGATTGGTGGAATAAGAGGTAACGTCATCAAATTTCAGCCAATAGGAAAACAGAGCAATCAATCAGCACAACACCCCAACTTATGTTTTGCTGTTGGATATTTATTCTCCTTTTCATTGTTCAGGTTGTGATAATACTGAAAATGCTATGGGCAGTGTGTATTTATTTAACATCATATCTCCCAGACTTCAAATAGTGAAACGAGAATAAATATCAGCTGTGGCACGCAAAGTTGAAGTGTTATACTGACTTCTTCTGTTCTCCTGGCTGCCAATTGAACGACACCAATCGTTTAACAAGGGTACTGAACGAAGCTAAAATGTACAACAAACTATAAGTTCTTGAGACGATGCTGCATGTGGAAGGG